AAAGTTCTTGGAGGGGTAGTGGGTGAAGAAGACTTCTAGGCGCTGTTTATACAAGTCGCGATATTCCTCATTACTATAGAAATCCAAGAACGCGCCGTCGAGTTTCTGGCAGTAAGCATCACACGCGACATCATTTGTACCCCGAAGCGCATGTGCGTCGTGCGGTGCGATGATGACTTTCATCTGGCCTTTCGACAAATGGTGAATGGCTGCTAATGTGTCGTCGAATTGGTCGAGCAGCGACTTGTCGAAGCCGCCTAGTTCGCCTTCGGGATCTGGGTGTTGCGCATCTGGGCGGATGAAGAGGCGGATTACACGCGCGCCGCTTTTGATGATTTCGCGGATTGTGGCGGCGCGGTGGGTGGGGGTGAAGAATTGGAGTTGGGGGTAGTTTACGCCGCCGAAGGAGTGGTTGGAGGAGGTGATTCTGAGGGAGGAGGAGGCGGAGGCGGAGGCGAGGGGAGAGTAGGCGATGAGGGATAGAGATAGTGTCAGGAAGGATGGGAGGAGCATCTTTGCGAATATGGCATGGACGACAACACGACGGAATGGAATTGCATTGCGACGCGGTATAAGACAATCATCCTGATCTGAACACGTGTAGAAGTTTTGCTATAGACAGATCTCTGTAACGGCGGAATAAGAGTTGATACTTGCGGGATTGACAATGTTCATATGGATAGATTAATTGCGGTGGTGCGTGCAGCCAATCACGAGGCGCTCGCAGGCAGTATACGCGGGGTCGCTAACCTGGACGGCGGGATGATGGAAGTTGACAGGGCATGTTCTCTGGAGTTCGTACTGGGTTTGTCACGCTGTCTTGTGCTCGTGATGGTCCTGGCTAACGGGGATACAGACGCGTGGTTGATGCACCGGAGAATGAGCACAGCAAGCGTCGCATCGGGTATTGGCAAGATGTTATGGTATGATATTTGCCGCGATGAGGATCGGATGAAACCATGTATCAGAGTCGTCGTGCGCAAGTCCGGCGGATGGGAGTGGCAGCTACGTTGTGCGCTCACTTTATCCTAGATACATAGCCTTGGTAATGATTCGGGTGTGGACAGGAAGCACTGCGACGTGCTGCGATACGTCGCAGGATATCCTTTGATCCAAATCTACGGGGATGATCTGGATCCCTTGTCCTAGTGCTGGTGTTGTTCCTGTCAACGATTGAAGAGTGGCGTCTACTGCTCGGCGTAGTGCGGGATCGCACAAACGTCTCTGTAGACATACTACTTCCCTGACCGGCATAAAAACTGCGCAAGCGTAACCTCATTTTGCGGTCGATAGCCTTGGGCGGTAATGCGCAATTTTACCAGCTCAGGCAGTGTGTGATGCAAGTCGAAGACTGGACCTTTCGACCGCTAGCATGGTCCTCATGTTTGTACAGTGCATTCGTCACGACGATGCTCGGATATTCGCAATTCTCATCCAGCCGGTTTATCGCACACAGCTTCAAGTCGCTTGAGCGTAGCCATGACTTCTTCTCCAATGTTTTCTCCGCTGGACGACGGTGCGAAGCGGCCATGTCGCAGCTCACTGAGGGCGCCAACGACGTCTTTAACTTCAGCCAAAGCCCGTCTGTTCTCTTGCTCTATCTCTGCGATCTGGGCCTCGAGGGTTTGGCATGCTTCTTCGATGTCGGAGTGGACCGTCTGTAGCGTGTGCGGTTTCTTGCGACTTTGGCCAGAGAGCTGGATTTTGTCAGCGCAATCCAGGGAGTCTCTTTCCTTAATGCAGTACCTCCTGCTCCATTTGAAGCGCAATCGGGTCCAGTCCGGCGACAGTCGCATCGTCTACGTGGCGTCTTTCCCGAGCGTACTCCCGCCTCAGCTGCTTGGACCGTTTGACCTCATCGATGATGTCCTGGCGGATCAGTTCGATATCCCTGTCGCGTATCTGCTGAAGCTCGCGATAGATTTCCTGTACAGCGGGGTTGGAGCGATGGGCGCGGGGGAAGATGTCGGTGAAGTCGCGTAGGGTGGTGAAGTCGCGCAAGGGAGCAGGTGCGAGGAGGAAGTCACCGAGGATCTTGGCCTCTTGCGACGGCATGATTAGAGTAGTAGATGTCGATTTCAGGCCGGAAAGTACCCACGCATATGATTAGTATGGCAGTGTTGGTGGTGGATGCGCCAATGAAGGAGGGCCATCGGAACGCGCGACGACGCGTTGTGGCCCGTGCCCAGAAAACTCCCGTGAGACGTGCCTGGACGATTCCAAGCAAACGTCGACTGAACCGTCTTTCACCAAGCTTGTCGACTGTATACGGATTCCAGGCAACCCTCACTCCACTTTCGCGGCGCAAAGTATCGTCCTTATTGTTGAACACCAAGGCTGGCACGAAGACGCGCTACGTGGACGTGCAATCTCTCGCACCCTTACCGCTTCCTTCCTGACTACCAAACCCATCAACATCAATTTCATCACACTCCATCGCAATCATGGCGCCCGCAGCTGCGCCGGAGCCTTCCTTCAAGAAAGATGAAAAGGTCTTTTGTTTCCACCATGAGTTGCTATACGAGGCCAAGGTGCTCGAAGTCAGACCTGTAGAAGAAGACAAGAAGAATGGCTTCGAATACAGAGTCCACTACAAGGGCTGGAAGAACACGTACGTATCTTCGATTCGTTCGAGTCTGCGCCCGCCTGCCTGTCATTCCGTCTCCCACTGCAGAAGTCACGTTTGCCTCTGCATACACTTCACTCATGCCAGCGTACCACACCTTTACTACACATTTGCAGCGGCACATCGTTTCAAATCGCCCCCTCAAAACTCAAAAACTCGTGGCTTGCTTTTGAGATCGCTAACTAACGTATCGCAGCTGGGACGACTGGGTTCCTGAGGATCGGCTTCGCAAGCTGTCTCCCGAGAACCGAGAGTTGGCCAATAACCTCAGGCACGAGATGCTGGCTGCCCAGCGTGCCGCAAGAGCTCAACCCGCACCTGCAAAAAAGAAGGCTCAGGGTTCGGCGCGCGGTAGCGAAGAGCGCCAAACCTCCGTCACTGCTGCACCACGCGGTCAGAAGAGGGTGCGGGACAATGACTTAGAGAAGGTGTGTATCCCAGCAATTCGCCCTACGCTTAGCAACTCACTCTCTAACTCCCTTTAGGAAGAAGCATTCCAGAACAAGCTGGCTGTCAGGATCTACATGCCAGACAGGCTAAAGAGCCTCCTAGTCGACGACTGGGAGAACATCACTAAGAACCTGCAACTCGTTCAGCTGCCTTCAGCTTACCCTGCAGGCGTCATACTGGATGAGTACATGAAGCATGTCAAAGACAACAGCAACCGCACCAGCATCGAGCAGGACATTCTTGAGGAAGTCATAGCTGGACTGAAGGAGTACTTCAATAAGAGCGTCGGACGTCTTCTCCTGTACCGGTTTGAGCGCGAGCAGTTCTACGACATCTGGTCACGCATCAATTCGCCGACGGATGATCTTGCAGCAAAGCCGCTCGCTGACATCTATGGCGGCGAGCATCTTCTGCGTCTTCTGGGTATGCATATATAAGTTGTTAGATGTAAATATTGCTAACAAGGCTTTCACAGTCACCATGCCCGAACTCATCGCGCAAACCAACATGGATCATCAGGCCGTCACGCGCTTGCGCGAGGAGCTCAGTCAAATGACGACGTGGCTCTCCAAGGAAGCGCAGATCAACACCTTCTTTGTGCCTACCTATGAGAGCCCCGGACAGGCCTACATCGACAAGGTCAAGTCCAGCACCTAGGAAGGCGGTAACTTCAAGATTTGATCAGTCGGCCGTTTCGCTTTGACATTTGTGTATCATCACTTCTGCATGGCTGGTGGGTTAGGGCATTGTCTAATGGCGCATAGGCGTTCTTGAGTAGTAGCAACCGGGTACGGGATTGCGGTATGCAGTTCTTGGTTTGTCAAGCTCCAAAGTGACATGGATACAAGTATAATAATACAGACTCGAAAAGTACTCATGTCCTCTTGATGACGTCCTCCAGTAACCCAGCAGCCCAATGCAAACACCTTGTCATATCGCCCTCCGCTTCTCTCGGCATGCCGTATATGCCAACGCTCTCGCAAACCTTCTTATCCAACTCTCCATCCACATCCCCATTCTTGAACAGGAACTTATGGTCCTTCACATAGTTCGGCCACACAATATCATCTACATAGCCCGGCGGATCTTGCCAGAAGCCCTCAAGCGTCACATAGCCACTCCTCGCCTCCCTCCTCCTCTTCGCAGTCTCATAGCTCGTCCGTAAAAAGAGTCTAACATCAAAGATCTCACGGATATCCTTCATATCCTGCGAAAACAGCAAAAACCCATCAACAACACATATCCGTCGCTCTTCCCACTCAGGCTTACTCCTCAACCACACCTCAACCTCATCTCTCAACCTCTTGATCTCAGCCTCAGGTACACCATGGTCGCCCACACTGTTCTGGTCTTCCTGGCTGACCAACCATTCTGGGCTGTTACCGTGTTCTTTGATGTGCTGCAGTGCTTGTTTGAGCGCGGGTAGATTGAGCGACTCTATGCAATCCCAGTCTTGGACAGAGTTCTTGACGGGGATCTCGGCGTCGGTGAGGTAGAAGTCATCGAGGTGCAGGATGAAGAGTTTGGAGGGGGGGAAGATGTCGCGGAGGAGGCGGGAGAGGGTTGTTTTGCCTGAGGAGGAGGGGCCTGAGATGCCGACTAGGAGGGGGGGTGGCATGGTGGTTGGAGGATTGGAGGGTTGGAGGGTCGCGGGGTACCGGGGGTTTGGTCGCGCCTTCCTTTTGGATGTATTGACGGGTCACAATAATGAGAATAATTCGAGGGGATATTGTCTAGTAACCCCCCTTCACACGACATGCCTACTTTCACACGTGCGAATGGTGGGGCTGTCGGCGTCTGATCGCCCACCGGCCCGCTAGTTCCCCATGCTGCGCGACGCGCCTGCGACTGCCACCATCGCATCTGAAGCCCGTCCCTGCATCTCCCACGACAAATATTCCAAAGTCTCTCTCTCCCACGCACCATGGAGCCGTCACCGCTGACGCAGGACACGCGGCCTGAAATCTTCCAACCCAAGATAATCTCCCTCTACGAAACCCTCTTCAAAGTGCGATCCTCTCCATCTCCACCCATTTTGCGCCAACCAAGTGCTAACCATGCCCAGGAAGACGACGAAGAAATCGAGCTATCCGCCGGCTTCTGGCAAGAATTCTTCCTCCACCGCCCCGACCCCACCGGCCTTCAGCGCATACTCAGTTCGGTAACGCCGGACGAGATGCTGCACCAGCAAGCGCATTCGCAGGCACTCTTCAGCCAGGCCATCCTGCGCGTCAAGCAAGCCAGCGCGCCCGCCGACGAAATCGCCCTCGAGGTACCCATGCCACCCACCCACGCACACATCACCTTCTCTTTCTCCATGCGCTTACCGCTTAGACCTTGACAGTCTTCCTCGATGCCGCACTCACGAAGAAGTACACGAATCCGAGCTCCGATATCATAGCTGTTCTTACGGGGCTGAATGATGCGGATAAGGTTATGACGGACTTTGTTGCGACGCTGGATACGGCGATACGGGGGGGGAGGGATAGTATGTATAGAGGGGATGCTGTGGAGGGATGGGCTGACCAAAAGCAGTTCCTTTGCGTTTGAGGGCTGTGAGAGTGGCGCTCTCGATTACTGCGGCTGGCTTTCAGACTGCGCTTCCGAGCTACTTTACTCATCGCGATTTGTTTCCCTCGCTCATGAAGGTACGACAGAAAGCAAGACAGGGGGGATGCATACTCACAGCCAGTAGTACATCCAAGATTGCGACGACAGCACCCAAGTTCTCCCCGCGCTCTATCTCCTCGGCCTCCTCACGAACTACAACAAATTCGAGTTTCAGAACCCGTATAGACTGCGGCTAGACGACTTTGTCAACGATGCTATCATACAGGATATGGTCGCTTGTTTTGGGAATACATGTACAAAGCTGCGGGACGCCTATGTAGCTGTACAGGATGATATGCCCGAAGGCTGGTCGCTAGGCTCGACGCTGAGTTACATTGGTCTGGGTGCTCTTGCGCCCAGCTCTCGGCCAACCACACCTGTGCCGGCTCCGGATGAAGCAAAGTCGCTCTTCGCTGCACTGTAAGCACTCATGGCCGTAATCACGGCTCATGCTAACGTATGGCTAGACCAGGGCCTGAGATTGGCGTACTTCTCTCCACGTACGACTTCGCCAACGCCAACAAAGTCTTCTGCTTCAACCTAGTCAAGTCAGCCCCAGCGGACAAGAACGAGCCCTCGCCGCTGAGCGCATACCTTTCCTTGACGTCCTACATGTTCCAACACGCCCATCGGTCTACCAGGGCCGCACTATACACATACCTCAGCCTCTTCGTGCTGCAAATACTTGTTGAAGACCGAGAGCTCGCCAAACGCCTATGCAGTGACGAGTCCAAGCTTTCGGTGCGCTTGTGCCGTCAGAGACAGCCCTACCTGCCGGCAGTGAGGGGCGATCGTGTCCCTGCAGCTGTCATACTAGACATGATGTCTGACGCCATCAGCCATAATCTGCGGAGGCGATTAGACGTTGACTTCTACATGTGAGTCTGAGTCCCAATATGGCACATACTTGGCTAATCCGCTCCCAGCCTCTGTCTCGGCGTTCTATTACGTCTCCTTTCGCACCTCAGTCGAACCAAGACGCGCATCACATACCATTGGTCGGAGTTGTGGCGGACCCTGCTCTCCTTCGTCCGCTTCCTCACCACCTACGAAAGCGACATCAAGTCCAACTACAAATCAAACGGAATGATCAACATACTGGTCAATCTGCTGGCCTTTGCACTGTCTAGCGGAGAGAACTTCTTGCCCGACCCTGCATCGTATGACGACTTGTTCTACAAGCTCGTGGAAAGCGGCGACACACTGATCAAGTTCCGGGACACATTTGGGTTATCAGGCCAATCAGACTCCATGCAGACGCTCATCAATGTGTCTTCGCATTACCAGTCCCTGCTGGAGAGCAATGGAAAGGCGCGGTCCAAGCATCTCAGCCCGCAAGAAGTCAGCGCCGTCATCAAACAGGGGTACGAGACGTTACCAATCGATGCGAGCGAGGGTTTGGATCGTTGGGAAAAGTTCCGGGAGGCGGACTTCAAGTCTCTGCTGAAGAAGATTGCTAGAGCGGCGGTAGAAGATGCCAAAGCACTGAATGACGATAATTGAGGCTGGAGATGGCACCATTGCAGTTCTCGAAGCGACCATCGTCGTGGCTGCCCGCGCGTTCAAATACCTACTACGAATCAACAAACAACGTTGCGAAACAATTCACTTCATCAAGTCGGGTAGCTCAGCTGTATTGGGGTGGATCAACATGAGGGGTCATACATCCAGTGGTTGTTGAGCGATCCAGGGTCGCGATCCACAACACGCACCATACACATGAGTGATGTCGACTGTCGATGAGAACATGATTGTGTGTATCGTGAGGGGTCTGATAGCGACTCGGTCTGGTGCTCTTCGACGTGTAATGGCGGTACGCATTGGCCAGAAGCCGACTTCATACAATTCCTTCTCTCCTCGAACCTTTTGCATTTCGATCTCTCAACTGCCTGATCTCTCTTCATCTACTTTGCAGTTCATTTCGATGGACTGAGTGTCTCTTTCCTTTTCATCTATCGCTTCATTGACCGCCGTGCATCGCAATGGCTACAACATCGCGATGCGACGACGGCGTCCCATCGCGGCATGGTAGCAAGGTACGCAAACTCACTCATCGCACCGAAGCATCCATTGACACTGCATCAGGACACTATCGTCCCCGCTGATAAGTCGAGCTCAAAAGCCGCATGGAGACGCTCACTGTCCGCCACTGTCAATCATGAAGACCATCCGGCACTTCAACCATGCCATGCCTACAGTACCCCCAATGCGGATAGCTACACCAGCCAGGACCGTTCCTTCGCATCTTCATCTTCTACATTGTCATCGGCACCCCCCTCGCCTCCCACATCAAAGTCATTTTCCAGACCCAGCGTCCCTCAGCAAGCACACACAACACCCAACGGCTACCGTCTTGGGCCTGATGGTAATGAAGGATGGAATTCCTCCTCGTCGAGTGTGCATACTGTACGGTCGCCCAGACAAAGCAGTTCTGGAGCGTCTTCTCCGAGGACGAAGCATACTATCTATGGAGGAGTTGGGGATGGGGTGCTAGTTGTGCCTGCGGTGAATGAGAAGCCGGTTAAGAATGTTGTGGTTGAGTTTATGGGGTTGAAGTTGTGTCGGGTCTGCGATGCTCTGCCTTACTGTGAGTAGCTTTGCTTTAGTGATGGTTGAACTAAGAAGAGACGCGAGAACCGAGTCTCTCCATCACACCCCACGGATCCCTTGCTAACGCAAACACAGTACTCAGCACCCGCAACATGGTCGACCGCATCCAAGCCATCATCGAAGACGACTTCAAGCACGCGCCCGAATCCACCCTCTACGACCTCCACTCCATCTCAGCCGGACCACACCACCACACGTACACCGACCGCGACCGCGCCCTCATGGCCATCCTCTGCTCCCTCCGCACCCTCCCTTTTGCCCGACAGGCACAAAACAACTGGTACCCGCAAGGCCTCCCCATCAGCAAAGACAACAACCTCGTCCTCTACAACCACACCGTCGGCCTCGGCGTAAAGCAAACCGCCATCTCCCTCGACAGCTTCGTCGACTTGGCACAATCCTGGCTCTACGTCCGCAACCCAGCGAGCTTGTCTGGCGTCGATCCTTCTGCGAAGAATTCCTGGAAGGGAATTGCGAACACGCTTTCCAACGCCGGCGTCGATATCCGCAAAATCGACCTCCAGCTCTGGGAGGCGCTGACGTATAGATTCGAAGGCGATGACCTCACAGCCGCCATCGACGATGTCATCGAGTGGTCCAAAGACGGTACCCTGGATAGCCGCCACGCCGCCTGGCGCGACCACGCCATCTCAAACGCGAAAAACATACCTGAATCTCTCTCCTCCGACGGCATGGCCCCTACCTCCACCCGTCCCCATTCCACCGGCCTCTACACCAAACGCTTCTCCCACAAACACCCGCTGGGTCGCCCCCGCTCCCTCATCTCCGACGACGAAAAAGCGGAATTACGGCGTGATCGCGCTGCCCGGCTTACTGCTGAGGCAGCAGCCAAGAAAATAGAAGATCAACGTAAAGAGAAGAGGGAGAAGAGCAAGGGGTGTTTTTATAAGGTGAGGAGGGGGTGGAGGAAGAGGAAGAGTATGGTTTGGTTTGTGTGCTTTATTGTGGTTATATTGAGTGGGATTATGGGGGGGCTGGTTTGGGCTATGGCGAGTGGGAAATTGGATTTTACGCCTGGGGGGGAGGGTGTGTGAGGGGAAGAGAGAGGGGGTGGTGGTGGTGGTGGTGGTGGTGATGGAGGAGTACGGTGTTAACGGTTGGAAACTAACGGGATCACTATAGCGAGTGTCATGCCTTATATGGGTTCAATGGCGTTGTAGGCGTTGAGGATAGGTGGTTAGGCGTCTGGAGTTGGTGGTGTCAGTCGTGGAGGATGGTAGACTAGGTCATCACTCTACTTTGGGATTCATTTGGACTCGAGCATGTAGTATCAGCAACTTGCTTCGAGAGATACTCTTATACTAGAGTTCCCTCTTCGCATACAGATGTGAAAGGCAACGGTATTTGCGTTTCATCGCATTCCAAGACTGTTGAATGAAACGAATGTTAATTCTTCTCTGGCTATGACCATTAACGGACGACATCATCACATTCCTATGCACACACATACACTCACCCATACTTCCCTCTATCTTCACCCCTACACCCTACTCCCTCACCCCTTATTCCCATACCACCATCTACGACCATCCTCCTAAATCCCAAATCCTCGCCAACCAACTACCCAACTACCCAACAACCTCTACCCCAGCACCATGCCACCACACCAACCATGCATATACTACGTACACCTCATCTCCGTGATTCCGTAGTCCCGCACTTCCGTGCTTTCCGCTCCGCTCCTCACTCCGACTCCGCTCCCTGCGCTCTTAGTCCGCACACGCTATTATAATCATACACAGACCAGGTTGGTCTAGAACACGTTCGCGTGGTTGAGGACTACGTGGTTGAGGGATGGCACGGGTGGGTGGTAGGGTGGTAGAGTTTGTACCTGAAGATCGTTATTTCGCTTGGTGGTGGGAGTAGTGGGACTACTGGGACTATCGGAATCGATAGGATGGGATGGGATGTGGTTCTGGACTCAGGAGGGGCTGGTGAGGTGGTAGTGGGTTGGTTGGTTAGTCACTGTAGAGGTGTGATTGGTTAGGGAGGATGGGGAATTGCGAACCTTGGAAGTGTTTTCTGTGTAGTTGGAATCATCAGAAACCCTAACGCGCAAGTGAGGACTCGATAGCTAAGGAATAAATGTACACCAGCTTGCAAGAACATACATCGCGACACCACTCGCAGAAAAGAAGAGATCGCGAAAGTTCCGAGATCAACCATCAATACCAGCAATTTCCACAACACCACCCTCATCCTCCAAACACTCCCATCCCATGCCCATCCAGGAGAAAATAAAAAAACGGTTCACTAGCGGTTCCCACGCTATTCTTAGCCTCAAAAGCAAATCCCGTATCTGCATCACGCAGACCACGCGGTTCGCGTTCCAGAACACGGCACTAGTGGTTATCCCTGCAACATTTGAAAGCCGCATCGCGGGAGTGCTAACGAAACGCGATGAAAAATGTACGTTGCTGACTGCATCAACCAGATGCGAACACTAGCAAAACTAGTCAAATGTGCAATTTGCCGTGTTTGCGCTTGCGCTTGTGAAGGTACGATGACGACGTGTATGCGGCTGGGTTCTTCGCTGTGCGTTCGTTCGTGCAGGCGGCGCATGAGCAAGGGGAGGCTTGAGCGCCACCATCGCCGACCGGGTGCTGAACTCGGTAGTGTACTGCAGGTACGAGATGAGAAAAGAAAAACTCATTCTACCGGGCTTGCATGTCTTGCAAGCTCTGAGACGAGGACCGAAAAGACTAGGAACATGGGAGCACTTGAGGCTGGATTGCGCTAGAGTTGTAGAGACACGAACGCGATACGAACAATAACCCGTATGTTTCTACCCAAGTATCGATTGTGGATATTGAAGCCGCGTCGGGTTTACTGCTGGTTTAGACATGAGAATATGTCGTGTTACACGAATCGTCTGGATATATGCCCGAAACCCTCGCTGCAGGCTGCGAATATCCTCCGACGCGTCTGACAGCTGTCACAATTCGCGACTCTGACTCTCGCGAAAATAAGTCCCACTGTGGCTTATTTTGAGAGATATCCCATGGGTGGGGTGTCGCAAACACACCACACAGATGCTGGATAGAGTGGGGTGGGGGTGTTCAGAACATGAAACTGAAACGAAAAGAACACACGACGATGTTTGAAAATACCCTTGCACTTGCTTCTGTTACAACCGGGGCTGTCCCCAGAGTATCACGTGCAGCCTGTCCCTCCCTCTCTACCTCACCTAACTCCACCATTCCATTCCCAGTCCATACTACCAGGCCAAGCCGGCACAACTTCGTATCCTGAATCTTCCGTCTAACATCTCGGCGGTTCTCTTCCTCCCGCCAGCCACATTATCCCAGCCCGATTCCGAGCAGACATCGAGAGGAGAATCCGGATCAGACATCCTGTTACGGATTACGGAAGTAGCCATGGCTAAATTGCGTGGCCCACTTTGAGTGTAGGCTACGGCAATTGTAAATTGAAAGCGTGGCTGGGTAGGTCCCGGTAGATGAGGCGGTGATGTCATGGTTAGCTGCACATGCACACGGATATGCAAGTCAGGACCGTTGCAGTAGCAGAAGACGGAGGCGGAGGCAAAAACGAAGCACATAAGTCGGGAATGGGCGTTTTGGCTGTTGATGTAATGTACGTTTATTTCGGGATCTTGGACGTTTTGCTCGTTGTGATTGCTTGCTTTTGCTTTCCGAGACCCTGGCAACTGGTTGTGTGTGTCGCGTAGACTTGCGATGTTCGGGCCCCTTGTCATGTGCGGTCGGTGGCTGTGGGCTGTCCCGCACGCACCGCCGTTCGATGTTCGATCGGCAGCCGATCCTGTCACATGGCCGAGGAGTGATGATCGCGAGGGGGGATTCGGATAAGACTTGCACTTGGTTGGGAGGGTCATGTCAAGTAAAGTCAAGTCGAAAAGAGTGTGATGTGCAGTTGTTTGATATAGTGATGTGCAAGTTAGAAACGTAGGTAATGTAGTGTCGGTCCACTCTTATTGGTAGAGCAGAGTAGTAGTATGTAGATTTGATAATGGTAGTTAAAGTAATAGTAAATGCAATGTAATGCGATGCTAGCGATTGTCTCGTCCAGGACAAACGGGATATGCAAATGTGGTATCATGGAAAGTGACAAATAAAACACCGAGAAATGCCATGGGAATGTAACGCCGCATCCGTTGTCTTCGTCCCACTCTGTACAGTTCGTAATCATGCGCGCCGTCAACCCATCAACTGCTGTCCTCGCTGATCGTCGCATCGCTCGCCGACGATACTGACGATTTGTTGTCGGAGGGCAGGGGACCGAGTGTCCAGCGCCAGTCTCGCGTCCGCTTCCGTCGTCCAGCGACGGGAGTTTCGGGAGCTGAGTCGCTGTCGTCGTCTGAAGATGACGAGTCGCGCTTCTCGCCTGTGCGGGGCGACTTTGGTCTTGGTGAGCTCTCTGCGGAGGACGATGTGCTGATGAGGGAGAGCTGGAGGGGCGATATGCTGGTTTCTGAGGGGTTCTTCAGAGCCTTGAGACTTAGTGATGGCTGTGATGTCGAGGCGTCAGAGTCGGTGGTGGATGCGGTGGACGCGAGAGAGGAGAGGGTTGAGACGGAAGACTCAATGTCGGAATGTGCGAGGGTGTATCTGGTGGTGGTGATCTCCTCTTCCAGTGGTGTGCGGAAGGAGACGCGCTTCTCGGCGGGGAACATGGGCCGGCTGGAGCCCATCTTGCGTGGTATTATCGAGCGCGCGGGGCTGTTGGAGAGGATGGAGGCGAGGTTGTGGGGTTGCTTGTAGGGTATTGAGAGGGTGGCCGAGTCGTTGGAGGCCGATGTGAGGGTGGAGGAGAGGGTAGACGCTGAACTTGGCGTCGATGCGCTGGTAGAGCCGCTGGTGGCGGGCACGTCGCTCTCGATGGAGAGCTGGGGTCTTGAGGGGCGTTGTAGTGTTGGGGCAGTCGCCGGGCGCTCATAGGCGTTGGAGAAGGTGTTGCGGACGGTGGGCGAGACGGCACTGAGGGTTTCAAGACGGAGACTGGCACCTTTGCCCAGGATGCGCGGCTGCTCAGTGTTGATGGAGAGTTTGGGCCGGGGCGGGGCCTGGCGCGGGGGTATTATAGGCAGCGAGGTGGCCATGGAGGAAGTCATTGAGGTCATACCGGACATGGCAGATGATGCTGGGTGCGAGGGCTGGAGGGTGGACAGCATCATGTGGGGGGTGTCCACGGGTATGAGGCTGGTGCCGGAAGTGTGCAGATGATATTGCGAATACTTGGGGACAGGCGAGTGCTAGAGGGGCACATCGCTATTAAACACTGCCATGTCGGCTGCGGATCCACCAGGACGGTCTTAACACGAAGCGCCTGGCTGGGGCTGCTCCCAAAATACCCAGCAGCCACTAGGCTTGTCCAAAGATAGATGCAGCGTGGCAAACATAATTGGGCTACCCGCGCCCGGCGCTTGGCGTTGACGGGCGGCGTTTCGCACCTGGCCACACACGTCGCGCCTTCACGCGCGCTTCATCACCCGCTGCACCACCACCTGCACCTCCACACGACACGCACGCCGCTGAAACTGCTGCACAACACCGGCGCTTCTCGTTGCTCCATGAAGAAACTGAAACGCCAGACCGGCTCCGTCATCGTCCACTTTGTTCGTAAGCACCAGGCACAGCCTTCACGCCTTGGTCGCCCTATTCGGCCTCACCTACTAACCTTCCCTCGTATCCACAGGACTACGTACGTACTTCTTACCGCGTGCGGCCGAGTTTACGTATTTGAGTGCGCAGAAGATAACGTCTACCGTGCCCCTCCCCACAGGACTGCTTCTACGCCAGCGTATTTGAACATGAAAACCCAGCATTACGACGCTTGCCACTGGCCGTGCAGCAAAAACAGATAGTCGTCACATGCAACTATGAGGCCCGCCGACGCGTACGATCCCTTGACTACCGCCGTGCCCGTGTCATCGGTCCAGTCTGACTCTCCCAGGGCTTGCACAAGCTGCAGCTGATCCACGAAGCGAAGAAGGTCTGCCCAGATGTAGTCATCGTCCTGGGCGAAGATCTTACCCGCTTCCGGAATGCTTCCAAAGAACTCTATGCTTTCTTGCGATCGTTTTCCTGGAACTCCCGTTGTGTACGACTAGGCTTTGATGAGGTTTGTCTTTCCTGGTCGCCTTTCCACTCTCGACCCTCGTGTCTCAGCACCGCCACCTTTGCAATCTCATTTTAGTCCCAACGTTTTCTGTTCCCTCACCGTATCGTTCATGCGAGTCATGCTAAGGCGGGCTAGGTGTTTTTAGATGTCACCGACATGATCGACTACAATGTCAGCATTCTCAACTCTAATGACCTCAGCAACGCCTTCTTTTGTCTCGACAGGAACGATCCCACTGTGGGGTTTCCTTACGATGCGACGCGGCTGAGTGGTCATCTATACCCCAAAACGGCCTCTGAACACTTAGGTAAGCTGTACACGGCGCATACGGTGTGGCGTAGCAAAAACATCTTCTTGGAATGGACCGCGAACGGCAAGGCTGACAGCCCTTGCTGAATCCTTGCGGCTACTGAGACCAGCAACCGTGCCTATGGGACTGCCACCAACAGTCTGTGATTCGATCATGCAGGTGCCCACCGTATGCGCCATAGATGCTGTACATAGCCGAACGTTGGAACTGATCGATTGTAGGCACCACGCCCGATCTGCTGCACCTCCGATTGGCTCTGGGAAGCCATTTAGCACATCACATACGAACCAGACTTGAGGCAGAGAAAGGCTACACGGCCACGGTTGGCATCTCTACCAATAAGCTTCTGGCAAAGCTTGTTGGCAACACATATAAGCCCAATGCTCAGACTACATTAGTCCCGCCTTATACGACTGATGAACACGATGAGACCATCGACAACGTGACTGCCTTCATCGATGATTACGAAGTCGGCAAGATTCCCGGCATAGGGTTCAAGATCGCACAAAAGCTCCGTACCCACCTTCTGCAGCGACCGGCTGAATTTGATGCTGGACTGGTGTATGGTGGGACTAAAGAAACTGTGCTTGTCCGCGATGTAAGAACGCATCCCGGAATCGGTCCGGAGACGTTGGAGCGGATACTTGGTGGTCCGGGCGTACCACATGGCACCGGGACCAAAGTGTGGGGTCTACTGAACGGCTGTGACGACACAGAAGTTGGCCAAGCACGCGAAATACCGCGTCAGATCAGTATAGAAGACAGCTACATGCGCCTAGACACACTTGAAGCCGTGACCAAAGAGCTTCGCATGCTAGCGAAAAGACTGCTCGAGCGAATGCACACCGATCTCCTAGAAGAAGATGACGATGCACACGACCTATCCACGGCTCCAACTCCCGCCACCACTTCAAAGCCTATGAAGCGCTGGCTCGCTCACCCGAAAACACTCCGACTATCAACCCGTCCACGGGCGCCCCAAAACCCAGATGGCACCCGCAATCGGTCCTTTGCACGCATATCCAAATCCGGACCCATGCCAACGTTTGTCTTCAGCCTAAAAGACTACAATAATAATACTACTATGGATGCCGTGGTCGAGAAGCTGCTTCACGAGACGTTGCTACCGCTGTTTCGCAAGCTGCATCCGGAGAAGAAGGGATGGAATCTCAGTCTTGTTAATGTTGCGGCGACGAATATGGCGGATGCGGCGCGGGAGAGGGGTGGCGTGGGGAGGGATATTGGGAAGATGTTTAGGAGGCAGGATGAGGTGTTGAGGCAATGGAGGGTGGATGAGGAGGAGGTGGTGGGTGGGGATGGGGTGGTGAGGGTTGAAGAATCGCCAGAGTCAGATGAAGCGCCCTGGTTGCAGGAAGCAAGGCGGCAACGACGGGAATATATGATGGATGAGGAACCATTCATACCTGAAGAAGACTGGGTGAGTGAAGAGCAGGTTCGGGTTGAAGAATCGCCATCGCCAGACGAAGCGCCCTGGTTGCTAGCCGCGAGGCGCCAACGACAGGAATACATGAGGGACGAAGAACCATCATTCCTCGAAGAAGATTTCGCAAGTAAACCACAACCTCAAATCGCAGAATCCCCATCACCAGACGAACCGCCCTGGTTACAATCAGCGCGCCAGCAACGCCTAGAATACATGATGGACGAGGCTTGGCCGACAGGTGAGATTATACATAGACACGGTTCTGAGGATCTGCCCACCTCATCACAGAAGATTGGATCTCCTGTGGAGGAGGAGGATGTCTGGGAAGAGGATGAGGAAGGTATGACAGATGGTGATTCTTTTCGCTGCGAGGAGTGTGGTGCTGTTATGCCGAGTTTTGCTATGGGCGCGCATTGGAGGTGGCATGGTATGATGGATTAGGCTGGTGGTGTAGTTATCTTGACTCCAAATTATACGATCAGACTACCATTACCATGATCTCGCTTCTCTTCAGTGTCCAAGCCTTCCAAATGGCTGTTGTGTAGGCGTAGCGGGGCGGGCGGGGGAGGCTGCGGGGTGGACATCCTTCGCAGCTTCATGGCTTTTGCCTGTCGAAACTTGGACTTTTGATTGATGGCCTCTGTCACTCTATCTCAGATAATATAATCCGACTACTATGGCTTGATGTTACTTGCGAGTGGCTGTTGTGTAGGAGTAGCTTCCTGAAGAGGAAATGCCCCGCTAGGATCTCGGACGCGGGTTCCTCGGCAGTCCGAAGCCGTTGCACCAGTGGCTGCGACATGTGATTGACGTACATGGCAAGCCCTCTTGCAAATGCTTAACCAGAGCGCCAACCCGCGACCCAAACTCCACATCCCTACTATCATGTCTTTGGCGTAGACTTGATTGATACCCTACACACAGTCGCCCACCCGCGCACCCTTCCCACGATGCCCGGCTCATCGCGCTTGCCCGTCAGTCTCCGCGACACTTTCAATGCGCGGAAGAGCTCCGCTAATGGCCAGCTCGTCGCCTTGAACATCGACGTGTATGCGCCCCTCCCTTCCGATAACGATAAGTGATAGAGCGGAATACTGACATGAGATATCTAGCCTGCGCAATATCATCTTTGTCCTTTTCCTCCTCCGCTGGACACGCATCACCTTCTACCAACTCAAAGGACGCGGCATCTTCGGCTCCATCAGCGATGCCTACATCAGCATTCGCCGCTACCTCTACGGCGTCTTCCTGCGACTTCCCGGCGTGCGCGACAAGGTACAGGCACAGGTGTCTGATTCGCTCCTAAAACTCGAACGCAAACTTGTTCCGAGCGGTCCCGGCGTCGAGCGCATCACCAGTCTGCCCGCCGAAGGATGGAGCGAAGAGGAGGTGCGCAAGAAGTTGGGTGAACTGGCTGATATGGAACATACCCGATGGGAAGATGGAAGAGTCAGCGGTGCGGTATACCACGGTGGAGAGGAGTTGATCAGACTGCAGACGGAGGCGTTTGGCAAGTTCACTGTTGCGAACCCCATTCATCCGGATGTGTTCCCTGGTGTGAGGAAGATGGAAGCCGAGATTGTGGCTATGGTGCTTTCTCTCTTCAACGCACCAGACGATGCGGCCGGTGTTACAACGTCTGGTGGCACGGAGTCTATCCTCATGGCCTGTCTCTCCGCACGCAACAAGGCGTACGCTGAGCGTGGCGTCACTCAGCCCGAGATGATCCTGCCTGAAACCGCACACACGGCTTTCCGCAAGGCGTGCGAGTACTTCAAGATCAAGATGCACCTCGTGGCATGCAAAGCACCAAGCTACAAGGTCCACCTACCCTCCGTCTCCCGTCTCATCAACCCGAACACCGTCCTCCTCGTCGGCTCCGCGCCCAACTTCCCCCACGGCATCATCGACGACATCTCCGGCCTCAGTAAACTCGCAGTCAAGAAGAAGATTCCCCTCCACGTCGACTGCTGTCTAGGTTCCTTCATCATCCCCATGCTCCCCAAAGCGGGTTTCGAATTCGAGCCCTTCGACTTCCGTCTGCCAGGTGTAACCAGCATCTCCTGCGACACCCACAAGTACGGCTTCGCCCCGAAAGGAAACTCCACAGTCCTCTACCGCTCCGACGTATACCGCAAGTACCAATACTTCATCTCGCCGGACTGGTCCGGCGGCGTCTACGCATCCCCATCCATCGCTGGCTCACGCCCCGGTGCCCTAATCGCAGGCTGCTGGGCCAGTCTCGTCAAGCAAGGCGCAAACGGCTACCTCGACGCCTGCCACAAAATCGTCGGCGGCATGAAGAAGATCGAAACCGCCATCCGCGAGAAACCTGAACTCGCGTCTGATCTCAAGATCATCGGTCGGCCCATGGTTTCTGTCGTATCTTTCCTGTCCAACACCCTCGATATCTACGACATCGCTGATGGCATGTCGGGTAAAGGATGGCACTTGAATGCGCTCCAGAACCCGCCTGCTATTCACATTGCTGTCACGCTGCCGATTGTTGCGGTCGTGGATAAGCTTATTGAGGATCTGGTTGAGGTTACCGAGGAGGTTAGGGATGCGGAGCGGAAGAGGATTGCGGAGGGTAAGGGCGCGAAGGGCGCGGTTAAGGGGGATACGGCTGCGTTGTATGGTGTTGCGGGCAGCTTGCCGAATAAGAGTGTTGTTGTGGATTTGGCGAAGGGGTTTTTGGATACTTTGTATAAGGCTTGAGGGGGGTGTTTTGATTGATGAGGCGAGAGCTGGGCTGGCGTGTTGATACCTACATACCCCATTCATTATTTGTTGTGCTTTCTTCAGGGTTGATGTTGATCATACTGTCCATTGTCGATTTCAAAATTGTACAGATCAATACATGTTCTCTTATGATACATGCTACATATTGCATTTACACCTGACAACATCGTCCACGCAGCTGAATTGGCAGACGACCTCAATTCTTCTGATCCACAGCCTCCATCCCAACCCCCATCTACATCTCCACCCTCGGCCCATTCGCCGGCGCACCCGAACTCGCATCAGGAATCCTCCCCGCCGTCTGCTCCAACGGCTCCTTCCTCCTCGGCCTCTTCAAATCCTCCTCCGTAACCCCATTCAACCCTACCTTTGTAATCCCCATAACGGGCGCATCCCCCTTCCTCACAAACTCATACAACCCCGGCAACTTATTCCCCGCCAGCCTAAACGCATCCTTGACAACCTGCTCGTGCAAATCCCCCTGAATCTCAAAGATAATCTTGCTCACCGCCACCCTCGCAGTCCAGCGGTCGAAACTGCCTTTTCCTTTGCCCATGCGCACGTCGTTGCCCGAGGTGTACACGCCGATGTTTGCCGCGATGCGCATGTAGAGACGGAATTTCATTCCTCGAAGCCGTTTGCGGATGGTTTCTTCGGCGATGCGGAGTTGTTGCGCGGATATGCGGCGGTCGTGGTCGCGCATGCGGAGACCGTAGTCGCCCCAGACGACGGTTGTGCCGCGCATGCTGCCGCCCGTGGGGACGCGGCAGCGCCCTTTTCGTGATTTGCGGGATTCGCCGGCTTTGGGGGCGAGGTAGTTGAGAGTGGGACGGGTTGTGGAGAAGAGGCGGGTGGTATTAAAGGCGGAGGGTTGGGGTTTGGAGAGGCATGTCTGTTGGAGGACTGGGGGTGCGTTAGCATAGCTGTGGAAGGTGGGAATTGGGAGTCGTACGTGTGGCCCTTGACGCAGAGAGGTTCAGTCTCCCGAATTGAGCCAGCAGGCTCTGTGATATCCTTGGTGGCGGCATGGCGTTGTGATGTTGGACCTGCACCAGGCCAATCGTTCAGTAACTTTGGTGTCGAAGTTCTGATGCCAAGACACATCTGTGGCTGCTGTGGCGCACGCGGGGGTATGGCGTCCATGCGCCTGCCTAATTGCCTAATGACCGCGCGAAGTCGCGTCGTGCACGTCAATGGCGCCTGTTGTCCATCAACCCACCCAAACCCCGTTCCCCCCCATTGTTTGGCTCAGCACTTGTCAGCGAACGCGTCACACTGTTACAATCTGATTACACGCGTTTTTCATCGTCAAGATGCCTGCCGACATTCGCAGCTTCTTTGGCGGCGGGCCCCCGAAGGCAAGCCAGGGATCGCAGAAGAAAGATGAGCCTGCAACGAAGAAGGCCGCAACTAAGAAGAAGGGTCGCACAAGTCGTGTTGTAGAGGACTCTGACGACGATGATGAGGAAGAGGCGAAGTAAGTACACAATTTCTGCTTGGTGACGTCAAACCTGACAGTTTATAGGCCAAAGAAAGCGACACCAAAGAAGCCCGCCGCAAAGAAGGTCAAGCGCGAACCGACGCCAGAACCCGCCCTCGAAGAGACCACCACATCCGACTTCTTTGCCAGCTCGAATAAGCCCAAGCGAACGGAGCCTGTGAAGAAGAAAGCGGCGGATGCACCTGCTGCGACACCGAAGAAGGCGCCCGCGAAGGCGAACGGGAAGGCCTCGAAGACAGCTTCCAACGCTAAGACAACTGGCCGTGCGAAGAAACCCGTCACTTCATATGCCGAGCGGGATGACGAGGACGAGTTCCCGGACGATGATCTGGAGGACGCGGACGATATTTTCGAGGCCAACATTAAGGGCAAGGGCAAAGACGACTACAAAGAAGCTTCAGAGAGCGATGACGACGTACCTGTGAAGCTGCCACATCGCGGGACACCAAAGGCTTCAGCCAAGCAACAAAAGGCGATCAAGGAGGAAGACGACTTCAATCCAGAAGACGAAGACATCGACATGAAGGACATCGACGCAGAAGACGACTTTGTGGAGCCCGATGAGGATGAGCAAGCACTGAAGAGCAAGCCAAAGAAGACATCGACTGCAGGCAAGAAGCGAAAGTCACCCATGTCTGATGACGAAGAGGAAGAAGAGGAGAAGCCAAAGAAAGGACGACCGAAGAAGGCCACAACGACGACACCCAAATCGCCCGCGAAAAAGAAGGCCAAGAAGGAAGAGGTTGAAGATAGTGCAGACATTCAGGCCATCTACGACAGTATTCCTACCGTGCGCGCGCCCACTCCACCACCCAAAGACGACAATGCCAAGTTCAACTGGCAGGCGAATGCCGGTCGTGGAGAGGCTGCACCACTCGGAGGCGGATCCAGCGAGATGCCCTCAGGCTCAGAGACATGTCTTGCAGGCCTCACATTCGTCTTCACCGGAGTGCTGCAGAAGTGGGGTCGCACTGAAGCTCAAGAGCTGGTGAAACGGCACGGTGGAAAGGTCACTGGCGCTCCAAGCAAGAAGACCAACTATGTTGTGCTAGGCACAGATGCCGGCCCTAGCAAACTGCGGAAGATCCAGGAGATGGAAATCAAGACAATCGACGAGGATGGCTTGACGGTGCTTATTGAGAAGCTGACGGCGGCTGGCAACAAGGGCGACAGCAAGGCACAGGCCGAGCATGCTGAGAAGCAACGCAAGGAGGAGGAAAAGATCAAAAAGCAAGCTGCAGAGCTTGAGCAAGAGGAGAAGAAGCGTCAGAAAGAGCTGTCGGCAGCAGCGAAAGCTTCCGGTAGCAAGACAGCCTCTGCCGTCACAGCAGCTGCACAGAGTGCAGGCCCGGCCGTAGACTCCCGTTTATGGACTACCAAGTATGCGCCCACATCACTCAACCAGATTTGCGGCAACAAGGCGACGGTTGAGAGGATCCAGCGCTGGTTGCAGATGTTCCCAAAGAACCTCAAGACTGGCTTCAAGTTGGCTGGCAAAGACGGTAGCGGAAACTTCCGTGCCATCATGCTACATGGCCCACCGGGTATTGGCAAGACTACCGCAGCGCATCTCGTCGCCAAGCTGGAAGGCTACGACATCGTTGAGAGAAACGCCAGTGATACCCGAAGTAAGAAGCTCATCGAAGACGGTCTACGCGGCGTCCTTAGCACCAACTCACTCCATGGCTACTTTGCTGGAGACGGAAAGAAGGTTGAGGCGGCCAAGAAGAAGCTCGTTTTGATCATGGATGAAGTCGACGGCATGTCTGCGGGTGACCGTGGTGGTGTCGGTGCGCTCGCAGCCGTGTGCAAGAAGACGGAGGTTCCCATGATTCTCATCTGCAACGACAGGAAGCTGCCAAAGATGAAGCCCTTCGACTACGTTACATTCGATTTGCCTTTCCGACGGCCCACTGTCGACCAAGTACGATCACGCATCATGACCATCGCATACCGAGAAGGCTTGAAGATGCCTGCGCCAGTTGTCAATGCACTCATTGAAGGCAGCCACGCCGATATCCGCCAGGTCGTCAACATGATTTCCACAGCCAAACTCGACCAAACAGCTATGGATTTCGACAAGGGCAAGACAATGTCCAAGAGCTGGGAGAAGCATGTCATCTTGAAGCCATGGGACATCACGCAGAAGATTCTCGGTGGCGGCATGTTTGCCTCGAGCAGCAAAGCCACACTCAACGAGAAGATTGAGCTCTACTTCAACGACCACGAGTTCAGTCCGTTGATGCTGCAGGAGAACTACCTCGGCACAAACCCGATGCAGTCCCTGAACTACTCTGGCAAAGAGAAGAACCTGAAGAACCTGGAATTGGCGTCGCTGGCAGCCGACAGTATCAGCGATGGTGATCTTGTTGATCGCATGATTCACGGCTCTCAGCAGCAGTGGAGTTTGATGCCCACACACGCAGTCTTCAGCTTCGTCCGGCCTGCAAGCTATGTTGCTGGTAGCACTGCCGGGAACCAGACGCGCTTCACATCATGGCTTGGAAAGAACAGTTCTACGAACAAGCTGAGCCGGATGATCAAGGAAATCCAAGCTCACATGAGGTTGCGGTCTTCCGGCGATCGACACGAGGTTCGACAGCAATACGTCCCACTTCTCTGGACGGACCTAGTCCAGAAGCTGCAGAAAGAAGGCAAAGACGCTGTTCCACAAGTCATCGAATTGATGGACAGCTACTACCTCACCAAAGACGACTTCGACGCCATCATGGAATTAGGTGTTGGGCCTATGGACCAAGAGAAAGTCAAGATCGACTCACAAACCAAATCCACCTTTACCCGACTGTAAGTCTCCCCCTTATCTCATCATCGCCCCCGTACACCACTAACGCCCCTTTTCCCACAGCTACAACCAACAATCCCACCCCCTCCCCTTCATGAAAGCCTCCTCCGTCGCCCAACCCAAGAAACAAGCCAAAGAGAAGCCGGATCTTGAAGAAGCGATCGATGAATCTGACGACGGCGAGGTTGTGGAGGAGGTCAAGGATGAAGAGGAGGATGTTGATTTGTCAAAGGATAAATATGTTAAGCAGCCGAAGAAGAAGGCTGCGCCGAAGAAGGGGGGTAAGAAGAAGAAAGATGAGGGGGACGACGAGGATGAGGAGGAAGTCAAGCCGAAGGGGAAGGGCAAGGCGAAGGCGGCGCCTAAGGGGAAGAAGAAGTGAGGCGGGAGGTTCTGGTGAGGGGTGGAGGAGGGATGGGTGTGGGTTTGTTGTGAGGTGTGTATGATATGGTTAGGTTTAGAGGAGGTGGAATGGTTGGTAGGAGGGAGCACAGTACTTCATGTGGCATCTACAGAGCGAGTCTAGTTAGTTCCCATATTTTGAAGCAACCCAGTCAAAATGGAAGTAATATATACGTATGCTGTTGGCCATGAAGTGCTGCCCACACTGTACGGCCTATAGCTTGAGGGGCAATTGGGTGAAGATGCTATGAAATTCAAATTTGGATACATCGCCATCCCCATGGTACTACAATAGCCCATGCGATGATTTACAGGTGATAAACCACTTACGACGCCTGTAATAATCAAGACAAAAATCATGCCTCATGCCTCAACCCTGCTATCCCATACTGGCGGAAGGTGATGATTATTGGAAGTGAAAGTGGATGTGACGCTTGCTCGGCTGGGTAAAGTACCGCGCCCCGCCATTCTGCCCTGCATGGATTTGCGTGCGGTCGACGTCAACGATGCATTTGGCGCCAGTGCCAGCGCAAAGCCGATTCAAGCTTTGTCGCATTGTCTTTGCCCTTGACCCTCTTAATCGCGGCCACTGCCGGTTTTACTTTCTTTTCGCATACCCACTCTCTACCCGCTTCCACGACCGTCTGATCTTTTCGAGATTGTACAAAATACCCCGCATCACAACGCGCGATAGTTGTTTGACGTGTGCACGACGGTTATCAAGCTGATAATCGCGTGCGTCACTAGTCTTGGTATCCGGGCTTGGAAGTTGGTCGCACGCCAGCCCAGGCACATATTCCAACTTAGGGGTCTGACAGTCAGCCTGGTCCCCGCTTGCAGTTCCCCACTCTTCTGCCCATCACATCTGCGATCAGCGCTGCACTCACGCCTCAACCATGGAGAACAACCTGAGCGCCGCCCGAGCCTCCCGGCGCTACCTCGACGAGCGCCTGCGCAACGACTGGGAGTATCCTGACGTGCCTGCCATCTGGTCAGCCTCGGACGAAGAAGTCCGCGACGCTGCCGACTTTCGCGAGCGCTATTACGGCGAGTCGGAATCTGGAGACTCGGATCAAGAAGACGAAGGTGTCGGCCCGTACAGGTTCGACAACCCAGAGAGCATCGGCGATGCGGTAGCGAGCACAAGAGAGGCGCGCAGAAGGCGCCGTCGAGAGAGGCTGGAGCGCGAGATGAAAGACAACGAAGGGCTGAGGATCTGGGTCGAGCGACGAGACGTGTGGACGGGCGCAGCGAGCGTGAAGAAGTACGGCACGAACCGCCAAAGACATGCCAACCGCCCGTCTTCAGCCGCAGGCTACTCGTCCGAAGAGCACGCCGTCACACCCACCGGCTCGGAATCGCACTCCATCACCAGCGCCACGCCCGACACCTTCGACCTCGTTCCCGTCGCGCCGCGTCTCCTCGAGGACAACCCGATCCGTGCGTCCATCACCCCCAAAGCATACCGCGACATCTTCCAGAAGATCGTAGTCTCGTCGCGCACGCCCTCGGTGCCCATCAACCTCGCAGACATGACCAAGGCGCTGGTACAAGGCTGGAAGGACTCGGATGAGTGGCCTCCAAGGGTAGCTGCGGTTGACCCTCTTGCCGGTAAGAAGCGCACTATTACCGGTACTCCATCCAACGGCCATCATGGAGGTTTCATAGCCCGACACCCCCATCTGGAGAAGAGTGTAGACGGCATGAAGCGGATCCTGCATCTCAACGGGCACCACGAACATGGGCACGAACAGGACAAGGAGCATGAGCAGGGTGGGAAAGAGGGCTGAAGCATAGTCGCGGATGAGCCAGTGCTTGTCCTTCACAACGCTGATGCATAGACCATGCAGGAAATACCCTCTTCCACGCTTACCGCGGTACCAACGACGCTCTGCCTACGCCAGAGGACCGCACGAACCTGCTGCGTGCTTCACTATCCTGGCGCGCCCCTCCGATCGATGCGAACAAGGGCAATTTGTGGTCGACGGGGTAGGGGTTGTATGCACACGCGCAGTCTCTTACAAGACACGAGCATGTCAGGCGTCTAGATTGAAGCATGCCGACCTCGGCATTCGCATTCACAGCTGCGCATTACGCACGTAAACACTGCGCCGGTGGAGTTGAGTTACAACAGGCGAAGATCACTGCTGAGAAAGGGCACTCGCATATATCTCGGCGATTGATTTTGATCAGATTGATTGATAAGATAATTTTTCCATGATACCCCCACATAATCCCAGCTTGTTACTACACAATATCCACCGAGATCGCCTGACTTTGCCTGAGATGATGTACGAAAGTAGCGGGTCGTACTAAAAGTACCTTGTTTGTACGGATCTGCATGCGTATATTTCGGCCGATAGTGTAACGTCGGTCTGTCGGCCGCTGGCGCGAGGCGACTGCAGTCACTTTACGCCTTGTGCGGGGCTGGTATGCGACGCTTAGTGGACATAGCCTTGCGTAACCCTGCGTAGTCTTGACAGCAGCCACAGCCTAAAGCCATATCGCCTTGCAGCGCTTTATCTGCTCCGCTCTTTCGGACTCCTCGGTCGCCGTAGACCGCAAGTGGATACACCATGGAGGTGAGACCGTTGGGTAGGGCGGGCAGTCGGTAGCCGCTGTACTGCAGCGTGATGATCCTCATACAAGGTACAAAGTGACGGGGTGTATTCGTCCGCAAGCGCATAAGTTGTTTGCGATAGCCAGCTCTTTTCTGCCGTCGGTAATTCTTTCGCCTTGCTCTTTTTCCTCTCTCTGCTTGATAGATCGATCATTTCATCAAGACTCTTCTTCTTTTTCTTCCATACCAACCTACCTACCACATCTTCTTAACCTTGGAAGCAAGCAACCATGCCAGGCACACTCCAAACACCCCAACCCAATGCCTTCCCCCCCGGTCGCCGCGGAGTCTACCTCCTTACGCACCCCCGCTCAGCGTCCAATCTCTTCCAAACCATGATGTCCAAGCAGCCCGGCTACCAGAACTCTGGCTACAAGCTCTTCGACGGCGGCTTTGCGACGCTGATGAATCTGGAGAAAGGGCCGCTGAGCGAATGGCCTGAGGAGGAGAGAAACGGGTTGTATGAGACGTTTAAAACGGCGTTTGGAAGCTTGGAGGACGAGTTGGACGATTGCGCGAAGAATGTAAGTAGGGAAGGAAGACATGAAGTTGAGATGTGGGGTTTAAAGTTATAAGGGCAAGGCTGCGCCACAACCGCACATGCGCCCGTCGTGATCCGCCCACAAGATGACGTGCTCGGGCTGGCCCGTCCCACTCACCACTATCACAATCCCCATCTGCAACACCCAACTAACTCCCTCTAACAGAACAAACAAGCCTTCGTAAAAGAACACACAATCTTCCTTTCAGGCCCCGACCGCCTCTTCTCAACCGTCTACCCGCACGACAACCCCCCAGCCCTAACCATCCACCCACGCAATGCCTCTCCCTCCTCCTCCTCCTCCTTACCACACACAAACCCCACTTCCGTCCCCGACAGCCTCCTCCTCTCCCTCCAACCAATCTTCCAAATCCGACACCCAATCCTAATGTTCCCCTCCATGCTGCGCGCCCAAAAGGATTCGTTTCCGGATACCAAGCCACGGACGTTGTATACGTGTACCACGTATACTCTCAAGTATACGAGAGCGCTGTATGAATGGTATGCAGAGCGGGAGGCTACGTCAGGGATTGTGCCAAGGGTTATTGATGCGGATGATATTATGAATAACGCGGCTGCGGTGCGTGAGTTGTGTCTCCAGACGGGGCTGGATCCGGAGGCTGTGCTGTACGAGGTAAGTTCTGACTACATGAAGTGTATGTGAGACATCTACTGACTTCGCACCTTTACTTCTGCAGTGGGAGGAGAAGAAGATTGAGGATAATCCGCTTATGGCGAGGTTTTTGAGTACGATTAACGCGAGTAAGGGGATTAAGAAGGGGTATGAAGCGAAAGGTTTAACGATGGAGGTGGAGAGGAAGAAGTGGGTGGAAGAGTGGAATGAGGAATTTGCGGCGGATTTGGAGGATTTTGTGAGTAAGGCGATGGATGATTATGAGTTTCTTTGGGAGAGGAGAGTGAAGGGGGAGTAGATGGAGTGGATGGGTAGGGGTGATGGTATGATAGGTGGTAGTAATGGTATTTGTCTCTTCGAGTATGTCCTGCAGGCGCTGGTGTGGAAACCAAAGAAGCTCGTATATGGCTGTAATACGAAGAACATCATGGAAGCTGAACACCAGAGAACTCAGCGCAAATCTCCAGCAGCTTGTCCTGAGCCTTCTCATCCTCTGTTGCCTTATGGGGTGTGCCTTGTCGCTTGTTCGGATGGAAATAGCACCCGCTCATTTTGGCCTTCTCTTCCTCTCCCTCAGCAAGCATAACATAGCTCTCGACCGCCGCATCCACGCTCCCCGGCGCCGAACTCCCACCCATCTTCGTAGCCACCCAACCCGGATCCAACGCATTGCTCTTCACATCCGGCCATCTGCGAGCGAAAGCTTTGGCAAGCAAGACATTGTGCAGCTTGCTCGCGCAGTAGGCAGCATTCGCGCTGTATCCGCTTTCGCCACGCTTCTGCCAGAGAACATCGTCTAAACTAGGTGAACCAGATTGATGCATCTCCGAAGAGAGGAATACCAGGCGCTTGGGACGCGTGATTAGTGCGGTGAGTACATATGGCGCCACGGTGTTGACGGCTGCTAAGGCGGGAATCCCTTCGTGCGTCTTGCGGAATGGGCCTTGGTATAGGCCGGCGTTGTGGATTACGCAGTCGAAGGCTCCCAGCTTATTGACTTCATTTGCCATATTCTTGGTCTCTGAAAGGCTGGACAAGTCGCCCGTCACGACTGTGTCAGCCCCAGGACAGGCTGTCGTGGCGTCCTTTGCACGTTGAGCGTTGCGCGCATGAAGAACTGCATCGCATCAGCGCCTGGGTGACGTTCAAGACGGGCATCTTAGATGCATACCAACAGAATGTCCATTTGCGACGAGACGTTTGGCGACGGCTGATCCGAGACCGTCGGAAGAGCCTGTGATAAGAATGCGCGCCATCGTGTGGTGTGTTTCTAGGTGGTCTAGCGTTCGCAGGCTTGGACAGAATCTTGAAACCCGTGGGCGTGGGGAAGAAGCTTGAGCTTGATAGAAAGTGGCTATTGCTACGGCCGTTATGGCGTCACTACGTCATGCCACTACAGAAACGGTGGATACGACGCGCTCGCACTCACAGCTCGGAAGTTACGAACTCCCGTGCCTCTCAGAGTGGACATGGCGGGGGAGGGAGAGTTGGCCCCGGCGAAACGCACCAACCCAACCGCCCGCCCGTCTCACGCCAGGCAGCACTCCTCCATCGACACTATTGGAGCACGACAATATACCTTAATTCATCCCATGTCGGTGCGGCGCATTAGCCAGTGCTTATTTGCGATAAGCTCGTCGACTAGGTGCGCCTCGTAGCGATGTCTGTGCCAAAGAGCTCGGGTTTGACGCATCTCGGGCCAGATTGATCTCGGGTCAGGCGTGCCTCAGCGCACGAAGGCTGAGCTTTGGACGCCTTGGATGCAAGAGCATCACAACTTCAAGGTATATAAGTAACGTGTGTCGCGTCCATCGATATGTCTCAACACATCATCGCCAAACGACTCATCAGAACCATGTCTCTCGCAACAGCTCCCCAACTCAAAGTTCTTGTCAACGGTGCTGGCATTGCAGGATCAAATTTCGCCTATTGGCTCGCCAGAACAGGTCTGAATGCCTCCATCACCGTTCTAGAACGCTCGCCATTCCCTCGGCCCACCGGCCAGTCCATCGAGATCCGTGGTCCAGCCATCTCCATTGTCGAGAAGATGGGCCTCTTGCCAAGCGTTCTTGCACGCAACACCACGGAGGAGGGCACACGCCTGATCAACGCACAAAGCAAGATTATCGCCGAGTTCGGAAAAGGCGGCTTCACATCCGAGTATGAGATCCTGCGATCCGATCTATGTGGCCTATTCCTGGATGCGTCGAAGAGTATGAAGAATGTGAAATACGTGTACGGCGACTATGTCACAGCGGTACAACAAACAGACCAGTCGGTGGACGTGACCTTCGACAGTGGAGCAACAGACAAGTTCGACCTCATCGTTGGCGCAGACGGCTCAGCGTCACGAACACGCTCCCTTATCCTGGATGAAGAGACGCTCAAGGGAAGTTACAACTTCATCGGGCAATACGTCGCGTACTTCAGCATTCCCCGCCAGGAATCCGACACGAAGCACTGGTATTGGTACAACGCACCAAAAGGCCGAGGCTTGATGACGCGACCGCATCGCAACGGCAAGACGATTGGGTGTTACGTCATCATCACAACGCCAGCACATGGACACTACGATCCCCTCGTCGAAGCAGCGATGGAAGGCGGTCCCGAGAAGCAGAAGGAGATTCTCCATACATATTTAGACAATGCGGGGTGGCAAGCTGAGCGCATCCTCGCCGGCATGGACGCATGCGACGACTTCTATATGAGCCGCTCAGCGTACGTCAAGCTTCCCACTTGGACGAACAATCGTGCTGTTCTTCTTGGCGATGCAGCCCACGCCACATTCGGTGTTGGCACTACCCTCGCTGTCGAGGGCGCATACTTCCTCGCAGGCGAACTCGGCAAGATAAAGTCCACCGACGATATCCCAGCTGCGCTCAAGCGCTACGAAGAGACGTACCGCAAGGTCCAAGGTCAAGGTGCAGACTTGCCGCCTGGCTTCCCTCAGTTCGCTTTCCCTCAGACTGCCTGGGCAATAAGGCTACGCGACGCACTCGCCTGGACATTCTGCAAGACGAAAGCGTATAAGTTGTTGCCGGAGGACAAGCCGGATGATTCGAAGCTGCCGCCGTACGAATGGGTCGCTGTGTGAGGAGGGGGCTCTCACGTGTTTTCTTGCTTCACAACAACGATACCAAATGCGATCGCTCTATTATCGCCGTCCTTCTCTCTATTCTATATGCGCTGATTAGCAGACACAAATACACCACTGTAACTACTCATATACTCACAGCCTACTTCGCTGTCTCTTCCATGATTCTTTGCGATATAAAGGACTCCCTGCGCTGTCTCGATATGAGCAACGCACTCTACCACAACGCTTTGTTACTGCATCATCCTTCACTTGTTCTTTATAGCATCTCCATAGTCAGGATTCTTAGCGAATCTAGCCTCTGCTCACGATGACTCTCCCCGATCCGTTTCCTGAAACACATGCGTTGATCGCACTACTGCCAGAGACGAGCCACAGCCTAAAGATGCCTCTACTGTACCTGTCGACCCGCCAGACAGAGTGGCCCATCTACCAGTCTCTACATCGCAACATCTACCCAATATGCTTTCTCTTCGTCTTTCTTCTTCGCTACACCCGCGTTCTTATTAGTCTATACGGCACCTATAGATACCGGCCTACACCCATACCGCTCAACCCCACGTACCACATCAACGATGTCACAGTCATCATACCCACCACAGACCTCATGTCCGAAACACTGCATCATGTTGTCCGCTCCATACTCAACCAACGCGTACCAAAGCTCATCATCGCAACCGCCGGCACCCAAGCCGCAGAACAGTTTCGCTCTTTCCGAGCTTTATTCCCAGAGAGCAAGGTCGTAGTAGCTCATCGCGTCAAGGCCTCCCGCCGGGAACAAACAGCACAAGCACTCAAGCAAGTCGAAACGCGGCTCGTCATTCTCCAAGACGATCACACATACTGGCCCCAATCCGCGCGCTTCATCGCTTCCGTGATCGCACCCTTCGAAGACACCAAAGTCGGTGCTGTGAGCGCCGACCTGCAAGCCCGGCACCGCGGACACCCCTTCTCCTGGCCCGGATTCTGGAACTTCATGGGCATGACCTACCTGATGCGCCGTTCCTACGAGTACCGCGGCACCTACGGCATCGACCGCGGCCTATCAACGTTACCAGGCCGTTTCGGCGTCTTCCGCACGACTATCTATGCATCGCCCGAGTTCCTCAACGGATACCTAAATTCGTACATGCCCTTCAAAACCGAGCCACTAAACTCCGACGACGACAAATTCCACACCCGCTGGCTGATTGAACATGACTGTAAAATGGGTCTGCAGGCTGGTCCCGATAGCGTCATGACGACGGAACTGGGCGAGTGGCCCAAGTTCATGAGTCAAGTGCTTCGCTGGACTCGAACAACGTGGCGCAACAACCCGGCGCAGTTGATGGGTAGGCTGACGTGGATGCGTCATCCCTTCATGTCGTGGAGTCTGCTCATGTGGTTTTTCCGTCAGTCGCTCACACAGGAAACGTGTATGTACATGACTCTTCGGGGTTCCCTGAAGCAGTACGGAAAGTCTGATTACTTCCCTGTCACCGCATCTGCGCTCACGCTCTGGATCTTGTCGTTCAAGTTTGTCAAGATCCTCGAACACTTCCGCAAGCATCCGCGCGATGTTGTGTATTTCCCCGCGTATCTTTTGTTTGGCCATTTGCATGCGTTTGTTAAGATTTACGCGGGGCTTACTTGTATGAATGCTTCTTGGACTACGGCGGAGGAGGTGAATGGTAATCTGGGGAAGGTAAAGACAGAGAAGGAGAGAAGTATCGCATCCCCCAAAACCCCAGTAAAGACTGAGGACGTGGTAGCGGAAGACAACAGCCAGGAACCTGCTTCGAAGCGGATGGCTTTGGATGTACCTCCAGCTGTCGAAGATCGGCCAAAGCGACCGGCCATGTTTGTGCGCAGGTCGCGTTATTATTCTCAAGCGCCAGGCGTAGGCGGATGGTTGGGTTGATTGCTATCGAATATTTGTCACTTCTTCACTGTCCCTCTGCGAGCACAGAAAGTGTAGCTAGCATACTACGAGCTAGATCAATAACTTTAAATCGGTGCTGCTCATGACACTTCATTGCAGTGGAGAAGGTTTCGTCAAGTTCCACACTTGCGCTCAGGCTTGTGGGAATAGACTTGTCGGCTAAATCCGTGCTCAGTCTCTTCGGCGCAAGGGAATCGTGGGGTACTGGTCCTCTGCATGTCTGATACAAGATGTATATAGTAGCCTCGATCGGAAGAAACGGAACAATGCAGATCCCGCAAATCACCATGCGATACCGATGAGATTTGCGCTGATTGCAGATTGAACGATACGATGAACAGCCTGTTTGTGCCCCACATGTCAACCGCATTGTATACTTCAGCAAGGTGACCTCCGCTATTGTCTTCGTTCCATCATCATTGAAAGCATCATGTATTTCGCATTGTCGCATCTTGCAGTCCTTGGGGCCATATCCCATACCCTTTCGGCGGTCTCCCTGGAGATCCGCCAAGCGCAGCAGAAAGTCACCATCGACCTGACGAAGAGATATCAGACGATCGACGGCTTTGGATTTTCAGGCGCCTTCCAGCGCGCAAACCTCATCGTCAATCTCCAGCAGCCCAAACAGCGCGAGGTTCTTGATCTACTCTTTAACACGACCACCGGCGCTGGCTTCTCAATCGTGCGCAACGGCATTGGCTCGACACCTAATAGCAACAGCGATTTCATGAACACGATCCTTCCTAAATGCCCAAGTACACCAGCTGAAGTCACTACGAACTACAGCGGGTACGTCTGGGATGCTAAGGATAGCGGACAGTTGTTTCTCAGCCAGAGAGCACAAGAGTATGGCGTCAACACCTTCTATGCGAATGCATGGAGCGCGCCTGGATGCATGAAGACAAACAACCAGGACACCAACGGCGGCCAGCTCTGTGGTGTACGTGCATCCCCGAAGTTCCCTCATCGCGTCCGCTAACCTGCCCCAGGTCTCTGGTACCAATTGCCGCTCTGGAGATTGGAAACAAGCCTACGCGAACTACCTCGTCGCATACATCAACTTCTACGCATCAGCCGGCGTCAAAGTCACACACCTCGGCTTCCTCAACGAGCCCGACTTATCCACCTCGTACGCCTCAATGCAATCATCCGGCACCCAAGCCGCCGAGTTCATCAAAGTCCTTCGTCCCACACTCGACCGTGCGAATCTGACTTCCGTCGGCATAAACTGCTGCGAAGCGACAGGCTGGAACGTCGCAACCCAACACGCGCAGCAAATCGCATCTGCCGGCGCCGAAAGCCTCGTCTACGCCATCACCTCGCACGAATATACTTCGCGCATCAGCGGCACCATGCGCACTGCCGCTCGCGTCTGGCAAACCGAGTACTCAGACCTAAGCGGCGGTTGGAGCACGGCCTGGTATTCCAACGGCGGTGCCGGCGATGGCTTCACCTGGGCCAACACCGTCTTTAACGGTGTCGTAAACTCCAATCTGTCCGCGTACATCTTCTGGGAAGGCGTCCAGGACCGCGCTACGAATGATGATAACAACGAGAAGCTTATCTTGGTTGATGGCCAGAACTACCATGTTAGCAAGCGGCTTTGGGCTTTCGCGCAGTTTCGCGTCGTTAGGACGGGTGCTGTGAGGGTGGGGGCGAGTGGTGGGGCGAATGTCAAGGCTGGTGCTTTTGTTAATAAGGATGGGAGTGTTGCGGTTGTGGTTATTAATTCTGCGGCGGGTGCGCAGAGTGTGAGTGTTGCGCTGGCTGGGTATCCGGATGTGAGGGCGTGGTATACGGATAATACTCACGACATGAGCGCCGTGATGGTGGCGGTGGGGAGTGATGGGACTGCGAGCGCGAGTGTGCCAGGTAGAGCGATGATCAGTTTTCTGTTCAAGAAGGCTGCGAATGCGACGATGTCGTAAGTTGGGAGTGGATGTGGAGAATGGCCTGGCGGTTCGCGGGGTGGGCGCGCTAGGCGCTGAAGCCCCACCCGTGGACCGCGTGAAGGCGCCACTCCCGCGTGACATGAGCTGAGGTCAAATCTTCAATCTCGAACAAACACTGCGTTATCCTTCGCCTCCCATCACGTACCATGTGCACTCGTAATCGTCCCGTAATGTTCTTGAGGCCCCTTCAATACGAGCCGACACGCTCACAGCGCGCTGATTGAAGCCAAAGCGCCTTCTCGACCCCGCTCACAGCTCGGTCCTTTCTCCCCAAGAAATCGCGTCACGCGTTATTGTATCGTGTTCGCACTGCAACATGGCTATCCCACAATGCGGCATCGGATTATGTGAACGACTTCGAGCAGTCACCGCCATAACAGCCAAGGCTCGGTCCGCAAGAAGCCTGAATTCTCCGGTGGTAATCCGCAATGGGGAAAGGGGCCGATAGCTAATATTGAAAAGTGGACACTATCCACGATCTCCATGCTGGTGTTTCTATTTCCTGTCCACACACAGGGCACATTGGGCAACCCGACCGTGCTATACGAAGTGTGCATGAACATCGACATGTCCCGAAAGCTTCCAGATAACGCTACGGGCTTGGTCTTCGTACAGATATAATGGTCATCATGGCTGCGATGCCACACACGCATCCCCCTCACGCTCGCTTTTGACAATGGGAAAGATCTCTTGCGCTATCGCGGCCCTTGTTCTGGGTGCGCAAGTTGCCGTTTCAACGTCAATCCATCCTCGACTCCAACCGAATGCGATTGTACAACGAGCTGCAAACGACACGCCTGTGGCAGGCGGCATCATGCCCGGTGCCTACATTGTCGAGTTCGCGGACGACAATGAGACACCGGAGTCATTCTACGCGTCTCTTGCGGCCAGCGGCGTACAGGTTGAACCTCGCATGGACCTGAGCTTCCGTTTCTTCAAGGGTGTCTCGTTCCAAGTCAAGAGGTCGAGCTCGAACTCGACTGGTGGGGACTTCTTGCGTCAGATGAAGGCACAACCCCAGGTCGAGAACATATGGCCGACGCGCATCACCACACGTTCGGGTGAGGAAAGTGTTGCAGCACCTTCTCAGCAGAAGCACACCAAGCGGCAAACCACCTCCGAGCGTACCTTCTCTCCTCATGTCATGACCCAGGTCGACAAGCTGCACGCAGAGGGGGTGACCGGCAAAGGCTTCCGCGTCGCTATCGTTGACAGCGGCCTCGACTACACCCACCCAGCACTCGGTGGATGCTTTGGACCGGGCTGTCTGGTAGAAGTGGGGTACGACTTCGTCGGCGATAACTACATACCAGGCAAGACACTCCCTGAGCCCGATGACGACCCCATGGATAATTGCGGTGGACATGGTACCCACGTTGCAGGCACCATTGCCGCTCAGCTCAAAGGCAACAAGTATGGCTTCACAGGCTCTGCTCCAGGAGCAAAGCTAGGCGCATACAGGATGTGGGGCTGCACATCGACATCCACGAACGAGATCGAGCTGATGGCATTTGCTCGGGCTGTCGAGGACGGCGCAGACATCATCTCGTACTCCAACGGCGATGAGTCGGGCTGGGCGCAGGATGTACGTGCTGTCATCATCTCCCGTATTGTCGACTCCGGTATTCCTGTTGTGATATCTGAAGGCAACGGCGGAGGCCAGGGCATGTTTTACGCTTCTACACCGGCAACGGGGTACAGCGTCATGGGTACGGGAGCAGTGTCCAATACGAAATTCCCCACGTTCCTCGAGCGAGGCTCCTACACGACTGGTGCCAATCCTACCAGCAACGGCACGACCGACTTCGGCTTCTTAATGGGTGTACCCGAGTTCGCTGCCGACACGACACTCCAGCTGTGGTCTGCTGCCGATGTGGATGATGCTTGCAAGCCGTTGCCCGATGATACGCCAGATCTGAGCCAGCGCATCGTGCTTCTGGAGTTCAAGGATGCAAGGGCAACCCAGTGCTATCCGCAAGATCAGGGCGCGAATCTCGCCGCGAAGGGTGCACGATTTATGATCTACTATGAGCGCAGCAACCTTACGATGCGGGACGAGCCATACGTCTACGCCGACGGGATCGAAGGAGTAGTCAAGGCTGTCCCATACGTTGCTGAGCGTTGGCTTTCCCTCCTGTCGCAGGGCAGCACCGTCTCTGTGACAATACCCGCGAATGGTACCCAAACGCACCTCGAGGAGCTTGAGAACAACGAGACCGGCGGATATGTCGCGGGTGAGCTGAGTAGCTGGGGCCCAAGTTGGGAGCTGAGCATGACGCCACAGATTGTATCACCCGGAGAGAACATTCTCAGCACGTATCCGACGGCTTTGGGTAGCTACCGCGTCATGACTGGTACCAGCATGGCAACGCCGCTGGTCGCAGGTGTCTACGCCATGCTTGGTGAAGTAAACGGCAGGTTGGAACCAGAGCGCCTTCGCAGGATCCTCACACACACGTCCAAGCCACTTGCATGGCACGACGGTACGAAGGCATACCCCGACATCCTCGCTCCAGTCGCCCAGCAAGGCGCCGGGCTGATCCAAGCGTGGAACGCTGCCCACATCACTCTTGAGCTCGATGTCGACAGTCTCATGCTGAACGACACGGAACACTTCGTCGGCACCCGAACCTTCAGCATAAAGAACACTGGCTCCACCGACGAGGTCCTCGACTTGGGCCACCGCAAAGCCGTCACAGTATACACTTTCCAACCCAACCTCCCCGACCTACGTACAGGCGTGTTCCCCAACCCTGCCGTCGACTCATGGGCCACTGTCTCTTTCTCCTCCTCCCGCATCAACGTCCCCGCTGGCCAATCCGCCAAGGTCACCGTCGACATCACACCACCTGCAGGTGTCAACGCAAATCTACTCCCCGTCTACAGCGGCTTCCTCAGCATCGGCGACAAGCTCCACCTGCCCTACCTCGGTGTCGTCGGAAACATGCGCGACGTGCCCATCGCAACGGCCGACAAAGTCTACCTCGCGCAAGGATACTCGCCCGCACCTGCGAACGTATCCTACACCATCCCACGACCAGACCCCGAGAACCCGCCCTTGACCGACCGTGGTGACATGCAAAACACACCGAATGTATATGTTGGCACTCTAGTTGGATCGTCGTTGGTGCGCGTCGAGGTTGTGCAGGAAGACAGGGTGCTGGGCGCGTTGGCGGGGTTCCCGCAGACGTACGTTGCGAGGGGTGAGGTGCGCGCGTACTTTAATGGGTTGATGGCGGATGGGACGGTGCTTGATGAGGGGGTGTATAAGATGAAGGTTAGTGCGTTGCGCATCTTTGGTGATGAGGAAAGTGAGGAGGATTGGGATGTTTTTGAGTCGGTTAGTTTTAAGGTGAGGTACGCTGTGTAGTAGCTTTGCGACGTGGGTTCAAACTGAATTGATACGTTCTGAGAATGTCTTCATTTCACTCCTTCTACTTTGGTCAGCCTTGAACATGCACGATAGTTTGCAAAGTCCTGTCGCGTGGTCACTTTCAAGAACAGCGGCTCCGATGATGTACACTATATCCCTCCTCCAGGTAGCGATATCATAGGCGTGTGGATGCGGGCTCTTGCTCGCCTGCCGTGCAGATAGACTATTTCCAGCGCGGTAACGCCATGCGCGGCTTTTTCTGGAATATTACGCCACGGCCCGAAGCCATACCCACGGCGCCACAACACCGCGCTCAAGCGACTCACGAACGGCTTGTATCGCTCCGGAACTTTCCTTCTCCGCAGCTCACCCGGGCGTCGAAACGCGCTACATCGACCACTGCCGGCGGTATCACGTCATCCTCTGCGACAACGACTGGCTCAACGCACGCAAAGCTTTAGTCCCCTCCACCCTGAAGGCATACCAACGCGCATCCTCTCCCCGCATCCTGTTCGACCCCACAGACTCTATCCGATGTCCCAGCAGCGGGAATCGCGAGCGTGGACAACGGCCTAGTCTCCGCTCCTCAACCTCCTTCGCGCGATCTGGTACAAGCCGGCGTCAGTCTTGGCGTAAGGGTCGTGCGATTCTGACATTGAAGGGCTACGAGGTGCGATACATTGTGATCAGCGGAACCAAGGCCGTTGAGAAGAGCGCACGGCGGAGCAGCGGAGGGACACGATGCGCAATCGCATTGCAATCAGGAATGACGTCGAGCGGATTAGTGATGGCGCCTTAGGGACGCATGTCATGTCAGGCCCACTAGGGCTTCGCACGCTGCCGAGCACGCTACCACACGTCTTACCTAACGACAACAGCTGCCCCAGATTGAGGCTCTGCGCTACCATCCGTACCTTGCAACTGTTACCTAACGACAATGCCTTTCCCCAGACTGCCGCTCCGCATCCTCCGAACTCTTTACATAACAGCAAATCTGCCCCAGATCGCGTCCGCAGCACTGGGTCAGCCCTGGTGTCAGCTTGCTTTCCGGAGTGCTGCAACTTGCTTCCAGAAGCCGTGCTTTCACCGGAGTGGTTGCGTAGCTGCTTGTCCTTTGGCTCGGGAAGGTAGTCGAGTGCGGAGGAGGCCCGTTCTCCACGTGCTTCCTTCCCGAGTATTCCTCCGATACCCTCATATCCAGCGCCAATACTCGGAAATATATCTCCAAGTTGCGCAAGACTCTCCGCGTCTTGGACGCCCATCGCAATAGATTCCTGGAGTGTGATACGACCATGTATCAGCTTGCGGCATTGCGATATAGCATTTCAGGTACTATACCAGCACACGACCATCTCGGGACTGTTGCGGGTTGGTTCATGGTGTAGCGATACAGGGTCGCATGACAGCCCTGAGGATCTGGATGCTCAAACTACACCTGTAGCGTGCCTGTGTACCATTGCAACCTGTTCACTAATGCGCCATTTCCACGCGACTCCGACCTCCTGTATATGCGCATGCTATCTCTGCAATCTCTTCGCGCACCCACGCATATCATCGATATTGACACAATTCATTCGAAAACGCGACAAGAATGACGCATTCT